CCCTGAGCAAAGACAACTCCTTGGATGGGTTTGTCCTTATTGGAGGCGGAATTGATCCAAACGGTTTTTCCCAACAGTCCCCTTACATGCACTACGGGAACTTTATCCCCATCTGTGGTGTGCAAGGGCTCAGATTGGGCAGGGCTGGCTCGGTTGGTGGAGCCTCGGGTGTTAACTAACCATGTGGCTTTTGCCAAGTGCTTCTCCCATTTTTTGAAAGTACCCCCGCCCAGTGCCTTCAAGGTGGTTTTTGGGAGTCCGTTGCACCGTTCCACTTTGCCAGCAGCAGGTGCATGGTAAGGAATATGGTACACCCACTCAGTGCCATGTTCCCTAGCCCAGGTGTTTATAAAGCTGTTCTTGAAATGAGTCCCGTTGTCAGACTCAATTCTCTCTGGGGGTACCATGCCTCCAAAGGACCTGTGTTTCAAGGCCCAGGATGGTGCTACGGGCAGTGGCGTGAGGAACAGGATAGGTTTCCAACCATCCAGTGGTGGCTTCTACCATTGTGAGTATATAGTGCTTGCCATGATGGGTCTGGGGCAGTGCGATGTAATCAATCTGCCAGGCCTCTCCGTACTTGTACTTGTCCCACCTTCCCCCATACCACAGGGGCTTCACCCCCTTGGCCTGCTTGATGGCAGTGTATGTCTCATAGTCATGGATAACCTGGGAGATACTGTCCATGGTTAGATCCACCCCTTGGTCTCGTGCCCACTTATAAGTGGCATCTCTGCCCTGGTGGCCTGAGGCATCATGGGCCCATTGAGCTAGGAACAACTCACCCTTGTGTTGCCAATCCAGATCGATCTGTGAAACCTCTATCTTTGCAGCCCTATCTACCTGCTCGTTGTTCTGGTGCTCCTCATTAGCCTGGCTCTTGGGGACATGGGCATCTACATGGCGGACTTTCACGGGTAACTTCTCCACCCGGGCTGCAATGTCTTTCCACTCTTCAGCAGCCCAGATTGGTTTTCCCCTACGCTGCCAATTGGCCTTTTTCCACCTTTCCAGCCACCCCCACAAAGCATTGGCCACCATCCATGAATCAGTGTAAAGGTAGAGCTTKGKCCACTTTTCCCTCTCAGCAAYGTCCAGGGCCAGCTGGATGGCTTTGAGTTCAGCAAATTGACTTGATCCACCTTCTCCTTCTGTGGCCTGTGCAGCCTGTGGTGTGGGGCTCCACACGGCTGCTTTCCACTTTCGGTTCATTCCGACAATGCGACAGGAGCCGTCAGTGAAAAGAGCTTTGTGTTTTTCTTCATCTGGCAGTTGGTTGTACAGTGGAGCTTCTTCAGCACGTGTCACTTGTTCTTGCTCCTCTTCATCAGCGAGATCAAAGTTTTCAGCTTYGGGCCAATTTGTAATTATTTCCAGGATCCCAGGGTGATTCGGGTTTCCAATGTGGGCGCGCTGAGTAATGAGAGCAATCCATTTGCTCCAGGTAGCATCGGTGRTGTGGTGGGTGGAGGGAACCTTTCCTTTAAACATCCACCCCAGCATTCGTAGTCGGGGTACCAGGAGGAGTTGGGCTTCTGTCCCAATCACTTCTGAAGCAGCTTGGACTCCYTCATAGGCTGCCAAGATCTCCTTCTCTGTTGGGGTGTAGTTGGCCTCAGACCCTCGGTAACTTCGGCTCCGGAATCCCAGTGGCCGACCTCGAGTGTCACCAGACACCTTTTGCTAGAGGGTCCAGGACAGACCATTGCTCCCAGCTGCAGAGTAGAGCACGTTCTTCACYTCTGGTCCTGTCCTGACTGGGCCGAGGGCTACCGCATGAGCGATTTCCTGCTTGATCTGGGCGAAGGCTTGCTGCTGTTCAGGGCCCCAGTGGAAATCGTTCTTCTTGCGGGTCACCAAGTAGAGAGGGCTCACAATCTGTCTGTATTCGGGATGTGCATCCTCCAAAAGCCAATGGCACCCAGGAAAGCCTGTGTCTCCTTTTTGCTGGTTGGTGGAGATATCGACGTGCTCTTATTGATGACCTCGGTGGGGATCTGACGCTGTCCATCTTGCCACTTTACCCCCAGGAACTGGATCTCTCGAGCAGGTCCCTTCACTTTGTTCCTTTTTATGGCAAAGCCGGCTTCCAGGAGAATCTGGATGATCTCCCCTTTCTCAAATACTTCTGNGCAGCCTGTGGTGTGGGGCTCCACACGGCTGCTTTCCACTTTCGGTTCATCCCTACAATGCGACAGGAGCCGTCAGTGAGAAGAGCGTAGTGTTTTTCTTTGTCTGGCAGTTGGTTGTAGAGTGGAGCTTCCTCAGCACGTGTCACTTGTTCTTGCTCCTCTTCATCAGCGAGATCAAAGTTTTCAGCTTTGGGCCAATTTGTAATTATTTCCAGGATCCCAGGGCGATTCAGGTTTCCAATGTGGGCGCGTTGAGTAATGAGAGCAATCCATTTGCTCCAGGTAGCATCGGTGGCGTGGTGGGTGGAGGGAACTTTTCCTTTAAACATCCACCCCAGCACTGCTAGTTGGGGTGCCAGGAGGAGTTGGGCTTCTGTCCCAATCACCTCTGAAGCAGCTTGGACTCCCTCATAGGCTGCCAAGATCTCCTTCTCTGTTGGAGTGTAGTTGGCCTCAGACCCTCGGTAGCTTCGGCTCCAGGACAGACCGTTGCTCCCAGCTGCAGAGTAGAGCACGTTCTTCACTTCTGGTCCTGTCCTGACTGGGCCGAGGGCTACTGCATGAGCGATTTCCTGCTTGATCTGGGTGAAGGCTTGCTGCTGTTCAGGGCCCCAGTGGAAATCGTTCTTCTTGCGGGTCACAAGGTAGAGAGGGCTCACAATCTGGCTGTATTCGGGATGTGCATCCTCCAAAAGCCAATGGCACCCAGGAAAGCCTGTGTCTCCTTTTTGCTAGTCGGTGGAGACATTGACGTGCTCTTATTGATGACCTCAGTGGGGATCTGACACCGTCCATCTTGCCACTTTACCCCCAGGAACTGGATCTCTCGAGCAGGTCCCTTCACTTTGTTCCTT